AAGCTCTTCATCTCTATTCGAGTGCAATTTTAATTTAATATTTTTTTTGTTCCTAATGTAAATTCTCTGTTGTGTACTTTAGAGCTCTAAATATAAATGTATATTGCATGTATTTCATTTCATAATAACAATAAATGTAGATAAAAATCCTTTTTACTGTGGATTCATGTTACTTACTAATTTAACTATGAAACATACGAATAACACATGTTTACTATTCTCTAACATACCAAAATTTATTATTTTATATGCACTCATGCCCAGCTGATTCCAAATAATTAAGTGATTTTCATATGCTTGTAGATTTTAAGTTGACTACAAGTTTAATTTTCGTTGTGTTAATTTTAATTGGAATTTGTGGTCTTCATGATTTAATTAAACCAGATCTTTGTAGTCAGATGACTCGGAATCTGTAAAGTTGACCATTTTATAAGGATCTAGGTTCAATTCTTAGCAACTTTTAGTATTGATTTGCTGCATAAAGTTCACGGTATTGTGTTCATTCCAATTATTGTTCAACTTAATAATAATCGGCCTGTTTCACTAAAGTGGATTATCCTCGATTTTGGATTATCCACTTCAGTTTTTTGAAAATATCGCCAGACGCTTAAGGTTATTAAGAGATCTAATGTGTGATCTAGCAAGAGTACTTTGCTCCTTAAATTAACATATACTTAGAATTTTTATATCTTCATTGGTTTGAGAATTATAGCAAAAATCGAAGTTAATCTACTAGATTTGGCTAGAAAATTGAATAATTAATACTTCTTACCAACAAGTAAAAGTTTATAGTATACAGAAATTTCAGACATAGTTCACTCTATTAAAATCCAAAATTAGAAATACCACACCTCCCATAAAGTTTAAGATATTTCCAAAAAACTGAAGTGGATAATCCGAAATCGAGAATAATCTACTTTAGTGAAACAGGCCGAATGTGATTGGGTTCCAGCCAAGCGATGTGTAACTCCACGTTGCGATGAGCTAAAGGCACTGCGATCCTGATCGATGATAGAATCTATTGTACAGGTTGTACAATCATCAATTTCCTATCTTCAGAATTTTTAATCAAGTTTCTGTTACCCGGGCGAATAAAGCAACTATTCTTACCATTTTTTACAGCACACAGATATGCTTTCTCGAAATCCCGGTCCCGACAAATTTTCGGGATCGGGATCGGGATTGAAATTTTTCGGGATTTCCCGGGAAATCCCGGGAATCCCGAATATGTAAAAAAATTTAAAAAACAGCATTTTTCTGCTTTTTTTCCCAAAAAAAATTATATATTTTTTTGCTACTTATACGGTCATTTATTCCTTAATTAATTAGTTATACTTTATGTGTTACAAGGTAGATGTTTTAATCCATGTTTCCTTTGAAAAATGTGAACATAAACAAAAATAGAAAATAAATGTTGATAAAGATGTAAGTTAAAAGGTTATAGAAAACGGTGTGAATATAATAATAAAAATTAAGCATTAATGAAAAAACTTTTAACAAATGCAATTGCATTTAGATTCTTGTCAAGTAAACGTTTTCTTTGTTTTGTAAGAATTTTGTTACTAATAGAGAAATTTCGTTCGCTTTGAGTTGAGGTCGGCTGCATTGTTATCAATTCATCGTAAAGTTGATCTAATAAAACGGTTCTCTTCTTATTTTTGTCATACCAATTAAACTCTCTTTTCAAGTTATTTGGTTCTGTTGCTGCTGCATCTGTTGTTAATGATGTATATTCAGATATGCTTAGTTTCAGTCTATCTCGAATAGAAATGTTTGACGGTTGGATTTGATTTGCACTGGATGTTGAAGCTTCCATAGCTCCATTTGTAGAGTTTTTGACAAAATACTTTTTCAATAAGTCAATGCCAAGTTTATGTATTGCAGCTTTTGTTGACGATTTAAAATGCTTGTCTAAAGAAATATATTGAGGTAAAGTATTAAGTCAATTAATGTTCCATTTCTTCGTGCACCTATGCAAGCGCAATTCATATCGTAAACCTTTTGAGACAATAATGTTCCTTGTAGCAACAATTCGTCTAGCAAAAAGTTAATTGTTCCTTCAGCAATTAATAAATCGTTTGATTTACGCAATAATTCTTCTGTCGCGTATTTAGCAGGTTCTAAAACATCAATAATTTCCTAAACTAAAAAACCGGGATTTTCAATCCCGATCCCGATAAATTTCGGGATCCCGGGATTGATCGGGATCGGTAAATCCCGGGAAATCCCGATCCCGATCCCGATAGCGAGAAACCATACACACAGTCTAACGAGACTAATAATACATCCAATTCATAATTCAAGCTCAACCAGCTGACATCAATTGCAAATTTTTCCCACGAGAAAGCAGACCACAACAGCAAGCAGTTACTAGAAAGAATAAATATTGTCGAAAGCAAACATTTTGACTGGTGTTAAAATAAAAATTTGTCAACTGTTCATTTTAGCTGTTATTTACGATTATGGGTGACATTAGGGTGTCTTTAGATTAAGTTTGAAATGCTTATCAATTCTAAAATGTATTGGGATATCCCAAAAAAGTAAGGATGATAAGAAAATAATGATTAACTCAATACAATTCAAACTAATGATCACTTCCATTGCCAGTTTTTCATAAATTTCAATTCCCAGTATATGACTATTTTTTATCGAGGTCAACAAGCAGTTTAACAGGATGAAAATCCACAAATACGCATTCCTGTCAAGTCTAATCAGTTATTCATTAAACTATCATCGCAGATGCACCTCATTCATCTAAATTAACTTGTCTATCCGACTTGTATCATATTCCATAACAATTTTCAACAAAATAGGAAGGAAGTGAGAGACGAGAAAATAGAAATACGGATAATGAAAGTGGTTAGTGAACTTTACAGCAGTATCTACAGCTGCAAAAGCAAACAAAAAGACAATGAGAAAATCCTACACAGAATAAAAAAAACATCATCGAGGTCATTTAGTTGAAACAAATCGATGCATTGCATTGTGTAATCAAAACAAGCAGCAACAGCAGCAGGAGCATCAGAAACAGCATCCAAAACCACCCTAACGATTCTCACATTCACATTAATTTTCATTTTCTCTGTTTATTTTTTACGTTCTTCCTCTTTTCGTTGTTTTTGGTGCAGTTTTAACAAGAAACGAGCTGTAATCAGTCTGTCCGGTACAATATATGGACCAAAAATACACTCTTTTATCCTCATATTACATAGATTCTAATATAAATTAAATGCGCATTTGTTACGAATACTTGCAGACATCATTACTAGCTGCTGCTTCTTCTTACTTCCGTTGTTCTGAATTATGTAGCAAAGACTGGTTTTATAAATTCAGTTCATGTATTTTCCTTTCATCCACTTTTTTACTTGTTCTTACTCCCAAAAAAGCGAACTGTTTGAATGGAAGAAAATAAAAATTGAGACAAGCCACAGTTCAGCATGAACGAAAAAAAAAGTTTATAAGCCCGAAAAAGAAAAGAAAAATCAATGTGGTAAAAGATGCGAAATATCGTGATGGAATTTTTTTTACAATGGTTGATTCCATTCATGAAATATTAATGTCTTGTTTAGCTCATCCATCTATCGACTCTCTTCTTTTCCTTTACAGCAAAAAACACATATTTTTATTATATTGATATTTTTTTCTATCATCATCGTTGATCGACAGCATCCAATGGCTTGACTATCAATAACATTTTTTCCTTCATCTCTCTTTCGCATGCTTTTTTATTTAAGTTTGATTCTTTTATTCTATTGTAAAGGTTGACATAAATATTTACAAGCTGTGAAGCTATGTCTCAATATGAAAGCTATTGGATTTATCAAATGCAGAGTTGACATGTTCAATAATTGAGATGCAAAAGTATTTATGCATACAATTGAGATTTGAAATGGATATTGTTGGAAATTGGTAATTTATTGTGTCAACGTTTTGGCAGGGAAAGGATATAATACATGAAGATGAGGTTTTGAGGTAAAGATAAGCTACAAAAATAGAATTTTGATTTCAATCTGTTGAAATGATGAATATAAAGCAAAAGAAATTTAACGGACATTTCATTTTTAAAAAGAATGAAAGAGACAGAAAAGGGTGTGAAAGAGAAAGGATGAAAGGGGCAAATTTTGGCTGGAAAATTTCCCTATAAAAGGAGCGAATTATTGCAGGGAAATTCATTCTTGTTTTGGCAATCGAGCTGAAAACATCTAAAGGAAAAGGATAAAGATATAAGGACAAAGGAAAAGGGAGTGAAAAGGATAAAAGAACAAAAGATAAATTTATAAGAGTAAAGGAAAAGGGAGTAAAAAGGATTAAAGAATCAAAGGTGAAAGGACCTATTACCACGGAGATCACGACGTTAAAAGAAGTATCGGACGTAGAATGGTAGCCATCTATGAAGGAGCGACCCCTAAAGGCTGTGAAGACTCGTGGCAGGCGATCAAGACTGAGGTGGAAGAACGAGAGATTGTACTGCTGACGCATCTCGGAGATAGCAGGAACGTGCATAAGGCTGAGAGAGAAGCACACAGGAGTCTAACAGCATAAAGACGAATAAGGGCTTTCCACCCTTGTTCAAGATCTCAACATTTAAGGAGGAGCTGGCAGTGTGCTCAACTCCGAAGGTTATGAAGGAAGATTCGTGGGAGGCGATCAGGAAAGGGATAAAGATAAAAGGAGAAAGGAATAAATACTAAAAAGGGCTTAAAGAGTACTTTTAAGTACTATAAAGATAATTAATAAGTAATAAAGGTAAACATAAGGAAAGTCACCACGGAGGAGGTTACAGAAGTCCAGTGGGAGCCATTTGAGGAGGAGCTAGCAGTGTTCTCAACCCCAAAGGTTGTGAAGGAAGATTCGTGGGAGGCGATAAAAGCAGAGATAGAGAAACGCGAAGTGGTATTACTTGCACATCTTTGTGACAGTTCAAACGTGTAAAAAGGCTGAGAGAGAGGCTTTCGGAGACGAGCTGCAAGATGACTCAACCCGTATCATAAATCTCAACACAATCATTAATTAGAGTTTTTAAATTCCTCATCACATCAGTTTTATTAATCCATACTTAGATTCAAATGGAAACTGGTTCCTCTTACACACTGGCTACGCCCCTATCCTCTACTCATCGTTTTTAATTTGTAAGATTTAAGGCGTCATAAATTTTCTTCAATTTCTCATCCAAAATCTGTTCGATTCTTCCTACAAGACGACTTTCAATGGCACTAATTTTTTCATCAACAGTTGTCAAAATCTTGTTTTGACTAGCTTCAAATTCCTTTTCAAATTTGTCTAATTGAGTTTTAGTTTTGTTTTCATAAGATTCAAGACGTTCGTCAAGATCTTCAGACCAATCTTTTAAAATTGTTTGCCAATTTTCACTTTTTGAAGACTTTTGTTCCTCAAAAGAAGCTTGAAGATTGTCTACATTTGTTATAATGGTTTTAAAGCCAACAGCTACTGATTCAGTTATTCTATTTTGGAAATCACAACTGTCAACGCAGTCTTTTGAGTCTGGTCCAGGAGCTTCACTTGAGCATAGTTGTTTTGCCTGTTTAATGACATTCCTTGCACTTGCTATACTATCCGTTACATTTGTACTGATACACAAATTTTCACCAAACCAGATGTTTTGAAGCTTAACTAAATGGTCGAAAATTGTTGAGTCAATTTTAATGAGCTTATTAGCCAAAAATGAAACACCTTCCAAGTTTGGATTGAAATCAAAAAGTCCAGGTTCTAGAGTCTCAATATCATTATTGTCCAAATAGAAATTGACCAATTTTGGGAATGGTTTCAAATCTGACTGATGGATTTCCTTTATGCGACCATAATAAATAGCAATTAATTTCAAATTTCCAAAGAATTTGTCCAACCTTTGTGGAAAGTAATTTATATTTTTGTGACGAGAGTCAAAACCTTCGACATCGTCGTTAGATCTCCAATTCCAGTGATATCCAGTAATTGATTTAATTGCTGCTGAATCCGGTGAAGTTATGTCAAGATGGTTTTCAACTTCACATCGATAAATTCTATGTAAAACCATATAGTCCCAATTTGAGTTGAAGTTACAGTCAACATTGATAGAGTTCAATCCAAAAAGTTGAAGAGATATTAAAATAATGAAGCTAGAGATTTGGAATAAAATATAAATAAGTAAGAATTTACATGAAATTAAATCTTCTTTAAAATGAATTTAATCATCAAACGTACATGTAAACCTTCATGTTGACAAAATAAAAAAATCTTCTATTCAAATTTATGTGACACTTTTAAATTAAGCAAATTACTTGTTGCTGACTCAACTGAATAATTAAAAGTAAACTTAAAAGCTCTGAATCTCATCATTTTATACTAGTTTGACTGAGAATGATTTTAATAAAACTGAGAGAAATCTCGTACAAACAAAATTTACGAATATATATGGATTAATTAATCAACGAAAGAGTCAAAAAGTTCAGAAGTCATAAAACATGTTGATAACGAATATTGTTTGCTCAAGCCTTACTTAAAATTCATAACTCTTTGATAATGTTTAAATTTTATTTTAATCAAAAGTAAATGGTTTTGAGACGAATTCTTCAGAATATTTTTGTTGATTATTCCTTACAACATAATATGCGTTAAACCAGAATCGATTGTAATTCAGCATTAATCAAGTCGTTGAACTTTTTAGAACAACACTTTATATTACAACTCTGATTTTAAAAGTAATTATTTACAATGTCTCAAGATATATCCATGTCCTTTCAATAAATTCCATAACTATTGCAATTACAATGATTGATGGATTCCATATTGTACGTATTTAATTAAATTTCATATCATCACTGAATTGAACGAATCATATTTTCATATGCTCGTCTTTTCATTCATCTATTTTCTTATGTGGCTATTCATTCATTTAGAATTTATGAAAGAGCAATTAAACTTCAACCAGTTTCAAATTTATTCCAATAAAAATGTTGACAGTATTAAAAGGCAGGTGGTGCAAAGAGGGGACATTTTTATAGACAAAATCCTCATGAGGATATGAAAAATTAGTCATTGTGGATCTGTAGTAGATAGGCTTGAGGATAGGGCTCACGTTATATTTGTACGACGGAAAGCCGAAGTGAGATAAGTACCTCGGTTATCGATTGGCAGGGATCTTTGATCGAGTGGTCAGAAATTGCCTCTTTTGAGCTCGTGGATTCGATTCCCATCGAACCCGACTTGTTTTACATTAGTACGCACATATGGTAGTTATAGGGAGATTTACAGTCATGACATGTTCAATTATTTTCACTTTACCAATGACTAATTACTATTCTGTCAATTAAAATAAGGTTTGAATATCAAAGACTAATTACTCATCTAATAGTCAGATTTAAAATGACTAAAAGAACCCAAAAATTTTCTCCTAAATTAATCACATTAAAAACTTTTTCTAATCAAAGTTGTTCTCTAAAATTAGTAGCACCCTTCCTTTATGAGAGACGTTTCATTATCTCGTCTCAAAGAATAATAACCTTTGACTGTAAGTACATTAACCATCGTAGGAAAGTAATAAAGGATTATTATCATTAGTAGAAAGGAATAAATCTGCATAATAAGCACTCAGAAAAATTTATTACATCCTCAAAAAAAAAAGTTTTAAGTGGTGAATTCTTAGTTTTATGGTAAATTGAAAAAATTTGTAGAAATTCATATCCAGTTCAAGTGACTGTCAATAAATCTTAATTTCACAAACTCAAGAAAAAGTTTGAAATTTATGTTGATCTTAAATTTATATTCACAAGGATGTCATTATAAGAGATAAAAATTATTCAAATTTAAATTTCATACTACATGCCATCCATGTATACACAAAAAAAGTTTCTAAAGCATCGTAAAAAAGTTCTTATCCATAACTTTGTTTCCATTCTCCCCCCTTTTTTCATTTTTAATTCTAATATTTTATTTTTCTTAAACCATATCTCGTACAGACAATTCCAATGCAGGTAAACAAGTATAAAGTAGGTAGGTACGTGATGTACTGTGATATTCTGAATAATATATATCGGAAATTCTGTTTCTGGTTGTACTTCATGTTAAAAGGGTTAGAGATGCACAGAGAAAAATTGCAAGTTGGCCAGTAAAAAGTATGTAAGGATATTTGAATGTCTGCTGCGCATGTAGAGGATTTAAGGGTCAGAAACTCTGAAATCATGTAAAATTGACTTAATGAAGGTAAATTGTGCGGTTTACTAGTATAGCCTTACCGACCTGGTGATTATGGACTAGGATTAACTCAAAATCCGTAGCCAGGGTCAAAAAATTACAAATCTCAACAATTTTGACACAAATAGCAATGAATTTTCAGTCCGAACCAAATGATCAACTCCATCTACATACCTGCAAAAACCTGTAAAACAACTTGGCAATATTTCTTACCATCTAAAAGTTGCAAAAGCAATAACTTATTCGTGCTCATTTTCATTGCATTTTTTTTTACTTCCCATCTTTCCTGTTGGACTTTGTTGTTGTAGATGCTGTTGATGTTGTTATGGTATGAAAGGAAAATAAATTGAAAAACTCCATCTTCCCAAAGTACTGGCATGCATATCCTAAGAAAAAGAAGAAAAACTTTTACATGTGTGTGAGTGTATATTGAGCCAAAAAGTGTTTCTTATCGTGGCATCTTTCCATCCATTCCATCTCAATTGCTACGTACTTGAAAAATCGTTCTGCATAGTTGTGAAGTAAATTGCACGGAGAAAAAGTTTATGAAGAAAAAAAAAAACAATTTTCTTCCACAAATTCAGCCTTGAGTACATATACTTTTGTGGATTCGGATGATGCTCCTATTTACTAACAACTTACCATAAAATCTGCTGTGGTTTCAGTTACAAACATGAAATTACGGTAAATTGAATCAAATTGCGATTGCTCATGCTAGCATTGTACTCGATTTGCTCATATTTCACTATAATTTTAAATTAATGAGTTAAAAATAAAGATTGCATTATGAGACAATCCAACATCATGGATGCAAGCAATTAAACCAGGAAAACACGAAGGTAGAACAAAAATACAATTTAAAAAAAATTATTTTAATAATGAAGAAGTTGTTCATGTATTCATAATACGTAATGTATGCAATAAGCTCATTATAATGAACAGTTTGAATACATAATGCTGCCACGTACTCAATGAAATGAAAATTTTCTTCACCAGCATCATGTATAAAAATAGGTGAAAACTGAGAAAATTGAAAATTCTTTTTGAAATCCTATAAAAAAAACTAAATTAATTTGCTTCCGTTTGATGAAAGGCGATTCTCTCTTTCTGTTTTATCTTCAAAGATTTCTTTTTCAATGGAAGACTTTCATAGAAAAAGCTCTTAAAGCTATTACAAGAAACTTCCAGGCTTATGAAGCATTGCGAATAAAAGCTCAGAAAGAACTTTGTTTATTACCTTTTCATAGTCCAAAGTACAACAAAAGCAATCAATATTTTAAGGGAATGGCGTATTACGTGAAAATGGCGAAAAGTGATTAGTTCTCAAGAAGAAGCTTCCTCTCAATATAATGTTGTTTGACACTCTTCCGAGATTTGTCACACTATTCTGATTACATTCACCACCAAGATAACGGCTCCATGTAGCACATTCTAAAGCTGGAAAGATTGGAGTTGATGATCTAACAGACTCGGCCCAAACAGCTAATGCAAAAATGTGACTGCAATCTGCTCGATTTCCAGGTAATGCATCAGTACAGAATGGTTGAGTTAAGCCACCATTGACGAAGAATGCAACATGTCCTTGTGACTCATGGTCACCAATACGCTCACCTTCAGTATGAACACTTTCAACTAGTTGAGCATCTGCTGAGCTTAATCGTCCTACAGTTACGCTACTAATGGCTCCTAAATTAAACGGATCTAAACCTGTCAATCTTCCAATAATATGTCTACGATTTGAACGATCTTGAACTCTACGTGATGCTCTAGCCATGATTTGTGCTCCAAGAGAAAATCCAATCAAGTTCATGAAACCTGAATTATAGCCATTGTTGAAGAGAGCAATTAATGCATCTCCAATTGAGTCACCAAGTCCTCCAGCACTCTAAAATATATTTTTAATGAGTAAATAAGTTCTTTGGCTTGGTTTCTAAAGTTTAAACTGAGCTATAGAATAAGAATCTGAACCAAAAAATAAATTTTACCAAGGATCCAATTTCACTGCTATCTGGATAATGAACAACTACAAAGTTATAGTTGGAATTTGCTTCATAAGCTTGAATGATCTCACGAACTTCAGGTGTCGTTAATGAATGATCATTGTTATAATGGAACATTACGGTTTCTCCATTTCGTACGAATGATGGATGTCCAATGATCATTTGCAAGTTTGATGTTGTGTATTCAGCTATTCCTCCACTGGAAATTGGAGGAAAATAAAAAGTTTTAGGCAAATATGAATTTAAATTTCATCAGGACCAATAATTGAAGACTTACTTAAAGTAAAAAATAAACATGAACCGATTATCAGCATGAACAACAGTCGCTAATGCGAGAATTAATATAGTCACTTTCCCAAACATTTCTGATCAGTTTAACGTCCAAAAATAAACTAAGAAAGAAAGAATTTAATTTACTTTCAAGTGGGTTTTAAACAGTTTGCGATAAGATATTGATATCCAATTGTATTATACTGTAATCTTATTATTTTGATAAGATTCGAGGGGAATTCAGAGGTGTTGGAGGTTTTAAGAGACTGTGTAAATAGGAAACAAACGCTAGATGAACCCCAATTGTGCTTTGCTTTTCAGCACGGAAGTTTCTGAATCCAAAAACTAAAGACTCATAAATTTTTCAATTTATTTATCTCGAACATATTAAAAGAGAATGAAAAATCACAGAAAAAGAATTGATTTCTTGCTTCATATTTCATCCAACAGAAAATAAGAATCTTTGAGAAATTGCGATGAAATGGATCGAAAGGAGAAAGATATGAATTTAATAGAAAGAAATATTGCACGCTATGAATTTTTAAACGGAATGCATTTTATCAATTGAAATAAAAATCCATAGAGCATTTATAATTTATTGTTGACAAGAATCAGGAATGAGCTGTTGGACAATCGAGATGAAAAGTGTTGCGTGATTTTAATTTGAAATTTCACAATTAAGAAAATGTATTTTTGTGTCTAGATGTCAATGACTAGATACAGAATCGAAGCTGATATTATTTTTTTTTTTTGGTTAAGACTTAATGCCTATGTACATTAATATAGATACGACTGTCAATAAAAGTCAAAAATTATAGCACAGAATGTTTTCATTCAATTATTTTTTTTTAATCATATCTGATCCCCGGCATACAGCTGATAATTTCCAGTCTGAATTTTTATCACGTTAAAATGAATTTACATTGCCATGTCGCACATATATTTTCATTAAATTTCACACAACATACACAATGCCTTATTTTTTCACATGAATTAAAAAATAACAAAAGCTTCAAAAAATTTTTTTCAATATTAATGAACAATGAAAAGGCAAAAAGAGAGGAAAAAATTTCCATTCAACACACAAAAGCTCTTATTAATAATTCAAATCTCATCATAAATATGAAGATACATAAACAACATTAAACATACTACATGATATAATATAATGTGAACTCATGATGATGTAAAATGTACGTACATTAACCAATCATCAACATTATTCATTACGAGCAGACTTAATTCTACTCTCTGCTTTTTTTTTCAACCATTTCATTCTCATTCACTCATATTTATTTCATAAATCTGTGCATAAACACAAATGTATGGAGATGTTTTGGATGTTGCATGTAGAATAATTCAGAAAATGATACGATTTTCTACGTTGAAATGAAGGAATAATAAAATTGAGATTTCATTTATGTGAATAAAATTGAAAAGTTAAAGGAAATTCAATTCATGACGACTACGAGGTATTGAATTTTATTTTGTTTTGATGTCAACAGTCCTGAACTTCAAATTGTGGCTTTAACCAGTGATGTTTGATTTTTAAAAGATCTTACGAGTTGAAAGGTAGCTGTACATCAATAAATTTTCAATTCTACTGTAGAACGCTTTGGATAGTCCTTGCAGCTTGACATTCAAAATCTATCGAAATACTAAAAGTAAGCGGTTCATTAAAATCTTTTTTTGGATCCATTAGAACCAATTAGAACCAAAGATGTAACAGAAATTTCTTTATAGTGGGAACTAAAGGAAGTTGACTACAAAAACCGATTTAAATCATTATTATCCTCTTCTATATCCCCAAAGGATGCAATATCATGCCACTTAACACTAAAAAGGCTATTTGCACACAGTCCATATAGAATATAGTTTATAATTGTCAATATTAGAACAATACAAAATCACGCAAACTGCAAATACAACCACTATACAGTATCAATAACATTGACATAAATTGGTCAGTAAACAACCGCATTTACGGAAATATGTTTTGATTTTGTAACAAAAACAAGCAGAGACATCATTTAGCTTTACATTCTGTTCATGCTTCATTGAACGATACAATTTAATAACTCAATTATTGTATTTAGTAACCTAATCCACAGTCGAAGCTGTTCTCCAAACTATTACTTCCATCAATTAAACAAATCGCAGATCCAAGGAATTTCTTTCAACTCGTTGATTTGTCCATATAAATAGACATTGATCAAAGGCATTAAGTATGTGAGTGAGAAGACGCAATGAACATGATGTGTAGATGTATATCCGAGCTGAAAAAAGAAGTAAAGCAAAGCACACATAAATAAACGGCAATGAAGAAAAATCTTTATTTTCCACTTGAGTAGTGAAAGGTTTCAACATTTCCATCACTTTATTCCATCGCAGTGAGAAGAAAAAAAATATGTTCCTCATGTTATTTTGTGTGATATACAGCATACAAAATGAATGAGGGCATACAAATGTATTCACATATAATATTCACAACCTAGGGACAAAGATGAGGCAGAAATGTATGCTTGGGGAAATCTGAAATAAAAAAAAAATTGTAGACCAAAATAAATGCGGCAGTAAAGGCATCAACATTTGACGTAAACATGGCATAGCATCGTGAACTACGTAAATTTTTACAACTCAACCGATGCCACACTCACTTACGATGCGTATCTGACTCGTATCTGTGTGTCTATTTTTCTGTATGCATCTATTCATCCGAAATGAAATGTGCAATTCCCAGTTGAACGATTTAATACTGTGAAATTTTTGCCATATTTCGATGCAATTTTCCGAGGAAGATTAGGTTAAGTTTTCATTTTGAATGAGTGAATTTGTAAAGTAGTTGCAATTCAATGGTTCATGTGGGATAAACATTTTTGGGGTTTTCAAACCGATATTCATTTTTTGAGGAGATTTATGTGATGGAGGAGTTGCATAAAGTTATTAAAATGTTTATTACGTTGGTTATTATTCATGAAGCCATGCATGGGAAAGCTTATTACTGTCTTCGTTATAGAATTTTGAAATTTGGTAATTAGAGACGGATTCGTTTCTAATTAGTATCTTAAACTGCTTTCTTAACCACATCCTGAAGTATCAGTTGAAGAAAATCTACATTTTACCCATCCTTGTCCATTCACTTCCATTATGCACTAAGAACATAAAATGTTACTAATAAATAATACAAATGCTTATTTCCATTAATCTCAATTCCATTAATATTTCAAAGCTTCATCAAAGCGCCATTCAAAGTTACATTCACTTTACCATGAGAATTTATTCTTCATAAAAGCCACTCTTTCAACTTGTCAAAAGGTATAGCCTCATGCGAAGAGATAAATGGAAGATTTGTAGCAATAAATCCTTTCATTACTACCTCAAAAAAAATTATTTTTTCCTTCTTCGCTCGTCTTTTACTTTTCAATAAAAATCTGAAAGCTTTCGTTTTGGCTTTTAAAAGCTTCAAGTGCCATAAAAAGAGATTCTTTATAGATTTATTGAATAAAAATAAAGTCCTTTTAGCTGTAATTCGAAAATTACGTGGAAAATTTGATTTTTATGAAGATTAAAGGATAAAATATTTGACAGTGGAAGTAATGGCTTATTTTTTTACTGGCGACTTTTTATTGGATTTAAAATTTTATATGATCTTCTTTTTGATGGCTCTTAATTGTTTAATGAGGAATTGCTTTTAAAACACTTCGAAATAAGTCAATCTACAGAAATAAAATTGGATCTGAAGTGACTCAGTGATCTGATGATTCAATGACTTTGTTCTCTGCGAATTACTTAGAAAAATCTTCAAAAATCATAAAAGTTCAAGCAACTTTTCGTCATCAAACGTTAAAGCCCTCTTAAATAATTCTCAAATAGACTAGAAAATTCCCATCTCATAAAGTGTAAATAAAAAAGGCATAGCGTGTACGTGCAACATACAATATCGCATTTTTAACATGAGAACTGTTTGTTTAGCTTCAGATTCTTTTAGTTTTTTTTTTCGTATTTCCCCCCAAAGCATCTTCCTCATATAAATAAAATGTGCGTTTGTAAAAAAATAAGAGAAAGCTTTTCGTGTATCTTCAGTGGATATAAATATGCTCATATATAGCATGTGAATATGACGAAAAGACGTTGTTGAATGGATGAACAAAAAAAAAGGTAAATACACATTTAAGACGATAGAGAATAAGTATTATGAATTATTCATGATGGAAATATGAGAGGGGTAAGGGGGAGAGGGATATAAAATATATATTTTTCATGCTTTTAACCTTTCCAATTTACTCCTTTCAACGCCACTTTAGTTTTCTTTTATTCATTTCTCCTTGTGTATGTCATGACATCTACGCATATTTTGTTGCTTTATTTTCACATCCAAACACACACACGACATGACTCAACTTAACTCACAATTGTGAGAATCCTTTTATGTCATGTCATATCAAGTAGTACCAAATTTTGCGTTAAAATGCTCCTGGGTGAAACGCAAACAATTTTGCCCTTCTTATTTTACATGCATACGCTCTTATGAAGAAATATTATTATTGAGTAGCATCATCTTCTGCTTCCACATATTTTCTATCTTATCCTCATCGTTACTACGTATGCTGCTGCTGTATAACTACACCATAATGTTGATGTAATTTGATTCAATACATGCGTATGCGATGGTGTAATAACTTGATTTGCCTACTTCTTTTAGCATTTTCGTCAGACAAGTAAACCCTTTTTTCTGGCAGTAAAAAAAGTATGTGGAAAAAGCTTTACTTGTTCTTTCTCACATTCATGAGATTACTAGTTGGAAGTTGGGTATATATCTTGGGTTTACTATAGTGAATTTCATATGGATTGATCCCACGATCAGCAAGAAAGATGAAATCGATCACTAATCGGAGTTTCATGCAGCTCAGTTAAATATTTATCAAAGATATTTAAGCTTAACAGCTCCTAATTAAACACTTTAAACCATATTCAGTATTGAAGAACAGCCAACTTCCCAACAGTTCTCAATTTACAATGAGTTTTCATAATAAACATTCGCTCTTTGTGTTTGCTCTGTGTACTGGGCCATAATACTATTCATATGACATATGATGATGATGATGATGCTAGAAGGGTTCAATTTTTTCATATACA